GCCCACCTGTGGATGGAGGAGGCCAGGCTGGTGGCTCATGGCGGAGGCAGTCCTGCAGCAGGAGGGAAGGGCCACACAGAGGGGCAGGGGTTTGCTGGACGGCAGTGCATGCTGCATGGGAGCTGGAGCTCTGGACACTGCATGCCACCCGCAGTGGCCCTGGCTGCCCATGCAAAGCACCAAGGGAGCCGCTAGCGCTGCGTGTCTTTAAATCCAGGACTGTCCCAAAAAAAAAAGGGATGTATGGTCACTATATCTCCGCAGCACACCTCTGATTGCCTCATGGCACACTGGTGTGCCACAGAAAACAGTTTAAGAAACACTGATTTATAGTATTCTACCAGCATTTCAACTGGGAGCTCAGCGTCCAAAGGCCAGATTCTGATTTCAGTCTCAGTACATTCCATGGAGAATCCATGAGGAGTCCTCTAGCACCTTAAAGAATAATGTATTTATTTAGGCATAAGTTTTTGTGGACAAAAAAGCCCACTTGGTCAGATGCATGATGTTGCATGACAGTTGACAAAGTAATCTTTACCCACAAAAGCTTATATCCAAATAAATCTGTCAGACTTTAAGATGTCACAGGATTCCTTGCAGTTTTTGAAGTTACAGACTAACATGGCTACCCTCTGATACTTGACTTCCATAGAGTTATTCTGGGTTTAAATTTATGTAACTGAAAGCGGAGTCTGCCACACTCAAGTAAACTTAAGTTGGTGTCATCATACTTTCATCATTCTGTGAGATTTACATCAGAAGCACCAAATCATTATACCAAGGCTATAGAAAACATTACATATAACTTTTCCATCTAAGGGCACGTCTGCACTGAAGGGCTAAAGCCTAAATAAGCTACACGACTTGAGCTGCGTAAATTGCTTATTTCAAATTGAAATAGCTTATTTTGGCTGTTGGCGCTGTCTACACAGCAGGTAGTCCGAGTTAGAGCACTTTTCATTTGACTTCCCTACTCCTCGTAAAATTAGGGTTACAGGAGTCAGAGTAAGAATTCCTCAAGTTAGACATTATTTTGACATTATGTCAAAATAATGGCTTGCTGTGTAGACGCAGACTATATTATAATAACACTGCTGTGTTGACATACACTAGCGGGTTCTTGTGCAAGAATGGCCATTCTTCCTCAGAGCATCCACACTGCCTGCCCGTTCTTGCACAAGAAGATTTACAGAAAAGTGTGGTAAGAGAGGGCTTCTTGCGCAAGAGCTACGCTCTTTTCTAACAAGTATAAGCTCTCTGGTACAAGAACTCTTGTGCAAAAGGGCAGTGTGGATGTGCGGCAGGAGTTTCTTGAGAAAGAAAGCCCTATGGCTAAAATGGCCATCGGAGCTTTCTTGCGCAAGAAAGTATCCACACTGCCATGGGGCATGGCAGTATGGACGTGTTCTTGCGCAAGAGTTCTTGCACAGGAACTCTTGCGCAAGATGTTTTGGAAGAAGCCCCTGCCAGTGTAGACCTAGCCTAAGTGTTTTTCTCTTGACCTCCTCTTTAGGTCTTTATCTTCGACTTTCACTAGGCTTCCTATTCCGAACTACCGTTACTAAGCCTAGTCCGAACTACCTAGTTCGTGCCGCGTGTAGCCGCGGAGCACAGAGTCCGAACTAGCGGACATATAAAAATGGCGGCATTTTGGAAGAAGCCCCTGCCAGTGTAGACCTAGCCTAAGTGTTTTTCTCTTGACCTCCTCTTTAGGTCTTTATCTTCGACTTTCACTAGGCTTCCTATTCCGAACTACCGTTACTAAGCCTAGTCCGAACTACCTAGTTCGTGCCGCGTGTAGCCGCGGAGCACAGAGTCCGAACTAGCGGACATATAAAAATGGCGGCACCCGGCAACATGCAAATGAAGCCCGGAAAATTCAAATCCCGGGCTTCATTTGCAAGTGAAAACTATGAAAACTTAAACAACCAACCAACAGCACCTGAAAGACAACATACCCCAATAGATTAGTGGTAGAGATGTAGCCGTGTTAGTCTGGGGTAGCTGAAGCAAAATGCCGGACAATGTAGCACTTTAACGACTAACAAAACGGTTTATTAGATGATGAGCTTTCGTGGGCCAGACCCACTTCCTCAGATCAACTTGTTAGTCTTTAAAGTGCTACATTGTCCTGCATTTTGCTTCACCTAATAGATTAGTAAGATATGAT